TCAGGACTTGGCAGGAATTGAATGGCTTTCTCCTGAAGCCTGTCCTTGGTAGCTCCCAACAAATATGAAACCAGAAATAATGGACAGTTACAAGATCCTGAAGCATTTTCTGTGGTTCTAAATCAAGAATTTTACAATTATCTTCCTGTTGTGTATAATGCCTAACCTGCTCAAGATGTAGGCAACAAAAATGTCGACTGGATAAAATACTCTTAAAGCAGCAGTTACTATAACTATTTAAAGAGACTCTGGGTGTATCTACATGAGACGATACTGTGCAGTAGCTCATTGCTACGCAGTTTTTGCCAGTAGTAATGAGCTACTGCGCAGTACCATTGGAAAAAACCTGTGCAGGGATGGTACTGTACAGTAACGCCGGTTACTGCACAGTCAATTAGTACTTGCGTAAGTAACAACTGTGCAGTCCACCACTTGTGTAGACATGGTCTCTGTCTACACTTTTAGGTACTAACTTGGCCCAACTTTATATTTGTAATAAAACAATGAGCAATGGGTTATTGTGTCTCTCTCTCTTTTACTGAACTGAATATTTAGTTTTTAGTTTCCTGATTTTTATAGGAGCTGAGAACTCAAAACATTATGTGCTTCCCCTGAAGCGAACACTAATGACTCTATTTTCAAGCATCTGGGAGAAGGAAAGAAGCTAGTTAGATTAAATGCCAACTGTTCTTGCCTCTTTTGTGCAAACTGCATCTGCAAAATATTTGCCTGCAAATCAGATAACTTGCATGCTGATAGGCCTCTGCATAGGCAACCACATATTTGTTCCTATTTTGCAGGTGCAAATGAAGTATCATATTTTAAAACATAGCTTTGTCTTTTAAATGAGAATGTGATTTGCTACTTCAGTCCTTTGAATAGGATGATTGAGTGAAATGTAATGACAAGGACATGAAATAAAATACAAACCTTCCCTATTTCCCTTTCCTAGCTCCAAACATAAGCTAAAACCCATTAGCTAATACTTATGCTTATGTGCTTATATTGATTCACATTCCAATGCTTTCGTGGATTATGCAATGAAATGTTGTGTGCGAGAAAAACTTCATGCAAGTGTAAGTCTGGAAGCTTGAAACTTCTTTGGTTCTTTGTTGAAGTTGCTCATTTCTTAATACTCCACTAAATGGGAACCTTTAGGACAAAAGGGGTATGTCTATAATATGTGCGTGGTCACAGCCCGGACATGTCTATATGTGCTATTAGTGTGCAGCCATAAATTCTGGTGCATATTGTGCCAGAGTTTATTGCTCCCGGGTGCCACATTTACACGAGCTGGGTCAAGTCAGAGCAGTTCTGGCTGGCAGAGGGCCCTGGGGGTCAGCCCGCCAGCCCAGGCTTTGTTCCAACCCAACTCAACGTGCCGCAAAGGGGCTGGCTGGAGTATGAGGGTGCTTCAGTGTGGAGGCTAGCCAGCAGGCAGCCCCAGCCTGCCCCATCAGTGTCTACATGTGCACTGCTGTAGTAAAAAAAAAACTCCACTGTAGGACAGTACATGTATTTACAAGTACTAACCTATGGTAGAGTTAATCTCACTGAATGAGTGGGGAAAAATACATGGCTAACATAAGGAGAAATAACTCTTGCTGTACCCATTAACTCTGTTCCAATGAGGCTACTCCATTGAGTAAGGATTGCAGATTCTGGCCATTTTTTTACAGTTTGAAAGCAATCTGTATTGATACCAAAGTGATAAGCATGCTAGAATATACTGACACCTAGTATTATCTGTATGCCTTGAATATACCTAAGTACAACTTCTATGAAGAAATATTTAGAATGAACAATTACTTTTTGGTTCTAACCACCCCAATAACCTTGTAACTCTTATAACAACTCAACTGAAATACTTATAAAACAGGGAGGGAGGAGAGAAGGCAGGTTCCTTTTGATCTCAGTACTCTGGTATTAATGGGTGTGTCTACATGTGCATTAATGTGTTTTTCCTAATGCACATTAAATTTAATACCTCTAGTATGAGGTACAAAATAAATGTGCATTAGGTTGCCCTAATGTGCAGTACCAAAAGCTTGTGTTCTTTTAAGTGACCTTAATGTGCAGCCTATTTTACTGTGCATTAGTGTAATTGCTTCGTTTCTTATGTGATGCTTTAATGTGCAGTAAAATAAGCCACTGTGCATTAAAGCACGTGTAGACACATGCAAGTCACAGATACCATAGGGTGTTATTCTGGATTTACCTTAGTGACATTGAGAGCAACTTGGCTTTCGGGGGGATGTCTGTGTTTCTACATGTGCAGTGTCATTCTCTCTCTCTCTTTAGGTACCATATACAAACAGGACATTGGTGACCACGGTCTTCCACAGATCTCTTCTCTTTGAGGCATACAGAATTTCCAGTGTCAAAACATTCATCCTTTTAGATAGACTCTTGATACAAGTCAACTTGTCTTCCACATTCTCTCCTTCCATCAATCTTTCCAGTTTGACCACATTTTCAATTTCCTCTTTCCTCATAATGTCTCTGAGAAACTCCAACAATCTCTTTCTGAAATTAATCAGCAGTTTCTTCTTGCAGCCTGCTCTTAACAAAATATCTTTATTTGAAGTGGGACTTGTCTAACATACCTTCAAGATGCACCTTAAGAATCACATCTCACTTGCTTCAATTTTCATTTCCATACGTGGCGATACTGTCTAGCATTCTGATGCATACATGTGGACTGGTATAACATAGTAATTCAAAACTCTTAATTTCATCCCCATAGAAATGGTATTATTTGTCAATATCTTTTTCATTTTCAGAAATCCGTCTTTTGCCATCCGTGTTCTCCGTTTTATTTCATGTTCACATTTACTATCTGATGTTATCCAGCTTCCCAAGTAGTTACATTTATTGACCTGCCTTATCTGTTTCTTTTCCACTTTGATGTTGCATACAGGAATGATCTTCTTTGTAATTACTATGCATTCTGTTTTTCTACAGTTGATGCCTTAAACCTTCTTCTCACTTTCACTAACAGTTTTATCTAAAATTCTCTTCTGAATCAGCTATTAAGACTGTATCATCAGCATAATGCAAGTTTTCCAAATTCTGTCCACCAAGGATCAGCCCTGGTAAATCCTCAATCTCCCTCAGTATTTTCTCACTGTACAAGTCGAACGAGTCAGGTTAAAAAATACAGACTTGCCTCGCGCCTCTCTTAATTTGGATGAAATCACTTAGTTAATTTTCTATCTTCACTGCTGCGGTTTGGTCCCAATAAAGGTTTCTTAAAATTCTCAAGTCTTTACCATCAATATCCAGTTCTTTCAATATTTTCATTAACTCCTCATGCTTGACTATTAAGAGCTTTGGTATAATCAATAAAACACAAGAAAAGGTCTTTCCTCATTTTTGTTGCCTTCTCCGAAAGCGTTTGTACTATGAAGATAGCATTTCTTGTACCTCAATCTTCAACAAAACCACATTGAACTTTCATAATCTCCGGTCTCTTTGTACTTCTAGTTCTCAACATCATCACCTTTAATAGGATCTTTGTCACATGGCTTATTAAAATGATGGTTCAATGAAGTTCACATTCAATGACTTCAGGTCATTTGGGGAGCACAATAAAGATTGATTGACTGAGGTCCTCAGGTATTTCTCCACTTTCATAAATCTCACTGATAACAGTTGTTAACTTTTCTATTCTATATTCTGTAGCTTTATTGGTTTTCGTTCAGTTGATAACTGTTTGTACTTCTGACTAAATTTTCAAACCACCCATGTTCTTCTTAGATGGATTTTCTTCTAGACTGTTGTGGAATAACTCTTCAATATACTCTGTCCATTTTTTCAATACCTGTTCTTATTCCATGATTCCATCACCACTCTTGGCTTTTATACATCCCCTAGCAGTACATCCTCCTTTGCCTGTGAGGTCATTGATATTCCTATACATTGATGTAACTTCTTTATCCTTTTGTTTTTCCATCTCTGTACATTTTTCATTAAGCCATTTTTCCTTTTTTTCACTGCACACTGATGAAATTGTTTGTCCAGTTTCTTATATTCTTCCATACAACAGGTTTTGATTAGTGTCATTAGGATAAAGAAAACTAATTAGCTCTGCCATAGTTTAGTACTTGTAACTACAAGTTCTGTCCTACAGCAGAGCTTTTTACTCTGCAGCAATGCATATGTAGATGCTAATGGGGCAGGCTGGGGCATGAGGGTGCTTCAGTGTGGGGGCTGCCTGCTAGCTAGCCCCCACACTGAAGCACCCTTGTGGTCCAGGCAGCCTCTCTACAGCATGTTGAGCTGGATGGATGCAGCTCCAGGCTGGCAGGCTGACCCCCAGGGCTCCATGCCAGCCAGTGCTGTTCCAACCCAGCTCAATGTGCTGGGCACATGTTCAAACACAGTGCCCAGGAGCAATAAACTCTGGCACTGTGTGTGCCAGAGTATATTGCTGCACATTAATTGCATGTGTAGACATGCCCTGGCAATCTCAGATTTACAGCACAAAGGTAGGTCAAAGCTTGACCCTACAAACCTAGATCTAACTTGGGAGGAGGCATTTAGATCTCACAGCTTTTTAAAAAAGTATGTCTGTAAAATACAGTATTTAAAGAAATCAGAGAATTGGGATATATGTTTAAACTTGGTGCTTATTTCTGACTGACAGGTCTTGGAGCCAGAAGAACTCTACTTTTCATCACAGAGGTGCAGCCTAGGAGTTAGCCAGGCATCTTGCTCCAGTGTTTTTCAGTCGACATGACTCAGCAGCAAACCCAGCTGAACAAGGTTAAGTGATGCAAGGTAAGTTTCTTTGCCAGCCATACCAAAAAATGTTAAAAAGCAGTGATGACTTCTGGTATATTGAGTTCTTTACTGGTTCACTTCATACAGGCCACATTAAAAAGCCATCAGACAGTGACTATTAAGTCAAAACAGATCTAAACAAGATTCAGGCAGATAATCCAAAGACTGAAGGCTCCCTGGTCTCTCTCTCATTCTTCTGACTCTTTCAGCCATGTTACATGGACATGACCATGTAACTGGTCTTTAAGAGGAGGCTGGACGTCTACCTGTCTGGGGTCATTTGAGCCCGGTTTTCTCTCCTGCCCAGGGCAAGGGGTTGGACTTGATGATCTACAAGGTCCCTTCCAACCCTACTTCTATGAATCTATGACCATAGGAGCTACTCGGCTGTGGCTGACATCTGCTGAGGTGCACACAGTCTACTTCTTTGTTAGATAACAGGGTCAAGGCCTATATTTCCAAAGACAAGGCCCAGCATGACTTTTTAAGGCTTTCCAGGTGACTTGACCTTTTTTCACCAGTAACTTACTTTTGATTTGCTGTGTCGTATCAGTGCCGAAAGCAGTCTGTTGGATTCTCCCATCACACCTGCATGGTCTTTGGCTTCACACCATTCCACCAACCTTTCAACTAATTTCACATTCTTTCCCAGCTGTTCAGCTGCATCTGCTGCATGTGAGGCAAAAAACAAAATACAAAAAAGCTGTCATTTTTTTCAGCATGTAGTAGAAACATATGTCTGAAAGTTACTAAGTGGAAGGAAAATCATGAAGTGGAACTGTGTAATTTACATTAATAGTGGAGAATGTTCCAATGTATATTAGTGAGGAAAGCTTGTCAAAAATGGAGAGAGAGATGCAGAAAATCTTTTTTAACAGTTTTCTAATATGTATATTTTTAAGTTGAACATTTCAGCCAAGAAATATATATTTCACAACACAGTTTCCCAGTATATATTCTGACTAGACCTTATATATTCCTGACATAGGATCATAAGAAAGTAAAGCTGGAAGGGACCTCAGTAAGTCATCTAGTCTAGCCCTTTGCTCAAGGGAGCCAACTAAACCATATTAGTCAAGTGTTCGTCTAACCTGCTTTTAAAAATTTCCAGGGATAGAGAGGCATCTTCTCTAGGGCGTCTGTTCCAATGTTTGACTACCCTCACAGTCAGAAAGCTCCTTCTAATTTCTAATCCAAATTTCCGCTGCAGCTTTAGGTCACTACTCCTAGTCTTGTCCCATATGGTCACAGAGAAAAGGCTATCTCCAACTTCTCTCTAATCACCATTCAGATATATGAAGATTATCATCAAGTTCCCTTTCAGTCTTCTTTTCTCCAGACTACCTAACCCTTGTTCTTTCAGCCTTTTCTTGTAAGTCATGCTTCCCAGGCCCCTAATCACTTTTGTTGATTTCCATTGACTCTTTGCAATCTAGTCGCAACTTTTTTTAAGTGTGTGGACCAAAACTGGACACAGTACTCCATATGAGGACTCACCAGTGCTGAATAGAGCAGAAGAACCACTTCCCTTGATTTGCAAGTAACCTCCTATTCATACAACCCAGTATGCTGTTGTTTTTTTTGGCAACAAGAGCACACTGTTGGCTCATATTCAGCTTACGGTCTACTGTAACCCCCAGGTCCTTCTCTGCAGCACTGCAGCCTAGCCAGTCACTCCTAGTCTCTATTTGTGCACATTATTATTCTGTCCAAAATGTAAGATTAGACATGTCCTTCCTGAATTTTACCTGATGGACTGTGGACAGTTTCTCCAGTTTATTCAAGTCATTCTGGATCCTAGTCCCACTGTCCAGTGTCTGTAACTCCACTCAACTTGGTGTCATTCTCAAATTTCCTAAGCGAGCACTTAATACCATCATCTGAATCATTAAGACGCTGAACAATACTGGACCAAGGACAGAGCCCTGGGGAATACTACTCGATACCACCTTCCAGCTAGACTTTGAACCACTGATGACTACCCATTGTGCAAAATGTTCCAACTAGTTATGTATCCACTTTACATCACTTCTGTCTACTCTGTATTTCCTTAGGTTGTTAATGACAATGTGTTGGGAGACAGTGTCAGAAGCTTTGCTAATGTCAAGGGCTAGGGGCAGACATTATACATAAACTGGTTTAAGTGATCAGAAACTGGTTTAAACATGTAACAGAACAGACATTCAGTGTACATAAACCAGTTTGAAAATGGCTGAAACTGGTTTGAGATAAACCTGGTTGAGTGTAGTATCAGGCTTAACCGATTTGGGTCAAACTGGTTTATGCAATGTCTCTCCCAGACCCCTTGCTGGTTTAAGTTGAACCAGACTCCCCCAGCATCCTAACATGCTCTCTGGGCTGGGTGGGGCTCTGCTCCAGGGAGCTAGGCTGGCTCCTCCCCTCTGCTTCCTCACTGGAGCTCTGGCAGAGACTTGCAGGCACAGCAGCATTTGTCTGGCTTCCCCTGCCCCATCCCCCCCACCACTTTACTAACCTGTAAAGATTGAATCAATTCAGTCTCAGGCTTTTTCTGTCCCTAGCCAAGGTGTATTTTACTCAATGCTCTCCCCCATCCATACAGCCAGACATCTTATCATAGAAGGAAATCAGGTTGGTCATGCATGACTTGCTTTTGGTGAATCTGGCTGTTCCTGATCAGCTTGTTCTTCTCTAGGTGCTTCACAATAGATTCCTTGAGGACCTGCTCCATGATCTTTCTAGGTATAGAGGTCAAAGTGACTGGTCTGTTCCCTAGACCCTTCTTTTTCCCCTTTCTTAAAGATGGGTGCTATATTTGCCCTTTTCCAGTTATAAGAACTGCTACTTACTGGGTCAGACCATAGGTCCATCTTGCCCAGTGTTCTGTGTCACAAGGGCAAAGAATGGATGCTGAAAGGGAGATGGAGAGGGTAGGACCATGGTTTTTCCCCTGTTCCTCTTCCTAGACCTTAAATGCAGGAGGCTGCATGTGGAAGTTTTGATTCAGAGGCAGTATCTCTAAATTCCACAGTGAACAGCTACTGATGCACCTTTCCTTCAAGAATCTTTCCAATCTCTTTCTGAATCTACTTAAATTGTCAGCTTGTGCAACATCTTGTGGCAATGAGATCTGCACTTTAATTATACTTGGTGGCCAATGAATTCCATGCTTTAATTACACTACTCAGTGTAAAAACAAAACAAAACAAAAACTTTCTTTTGTTAGTTTTAACCTTACTATTGAGTAGCTTCATTTTATGATCCTTGGTTCTTGTATTGTGAGAGATAGTAAACAATGAATCCCTATATACTTCCTTTTTGCCATTTAGTGTTTTGTAAACTCTTTTCATGTCCCCACCTCAAGCATTATCTGGGACTGCACTGAACCTTCATAAATTCTCAAAGAGGAGAGACAACAGCTCTGAAATTACCTCAGCCAATTTCTTCTGTATCCTAGGTACATCCTATCTGGCCCTACTGATCTGAAAGCATCTAGCCTCTCTACATAATCCCTAACCTGTTCTGCCACTACCCTAGGCAGTTTCACCCCTTCCCTAATATTTCCTGTCAACTGTGTGCATCATCTGGTAGGTAACCCTGTTTGTGAAGGCTGAAGTAAGAAAAAAACCACATTAAATATTTCAGCCTTCTCTACATCATCTGTAACTAGGTTGCCTTTTTTCTTTGGTCTTCCTCTTACTTTTGACATCCTTGTAGAATCCCTTATGGCTTTTTATGTCCCTTGCCAGTTGCAACTCAAATCATGCCCTAGCCTTCCTAATCTTCTCGCACACCCGTGTGATACTCTTATACTCTCGCCTGGTAGTATGACCAAGATTCTACTTTTTGTAGGATTCCTTTTAAGTCTCAACTAATTAAAAAGATTGCTGTCTAGCCAGGCTATCCTCCTGTTACACTTCCCACTTTTCTGTCACCTCAGGATACCGTGCTCCTGTGCCCTTAATATGGCCTGCTTAAAGTAAAGTCAGCATTTCTGTTGGCTGTACTTCATTAAGAATATAATAAGAAACTGACTTATGCAAGTTTTTCTTCAACTTCCTTTCCACTTTTGACAAGCTTTACTTACTGATGTACATTGGAGATATATATACATATAATATCAGGAAACTGCATTGAGAATACACACACACACTATAGATTCCAAAATGCACAAACAGCATGAAGCGGGCTGGTCTAAACACCACCCACCCCGCCGAGTCAATGGCTGATATGTAAAATTGAAAAAAAAAAAGAAAGAATTCCAATTCATGGGGTTTATGCATTTGTGGAACGCTAGCAACTGTAAAGGTAACAATTCATTCTCAGTGGGCCAATTCATAATTTTACAGGCAAAAGAAATACTTCTGATAACCTGGTCTGATCTATATATTAAATAGACCACAAATCTTCCCTGAATTAAGTCTTGCTTTGAGTCTAACAGCCATGTTTGAACTAAAGTGCATCCTTTAGGCCCCCACTACACCTTAAGACGTGCCCCAGCTACGCATTCAACCAAATCATGGTATGATGAAATAATCCATAGGCTACAAAGTTATTCCACAAAAAATGTGTAATAACTTTATAGCTTGTTCTAATCACACCACTAACTGCTCCCCTGTGGCTGGAAGCCCCATCAACTGGGAGGCTCCCAGCCACAGGGGTGCAAAACCCACTGCCAGCCCTGCAGGTGACAAGGCTGGCAGCAGTGTTCCCTGCGCTGCCCCTACTGTGAGCCTTGTCAGCTGTGGGGCTTGCAGTGAGGAGAATGTTGCTGCTGCTGCAAGCCCTGCAGCTAATGAGGTTGGGTGGCAGCAGCATTCTTCCTGCTGGAAGCCCTGCACCTGACAAAGCTTGCAGCAGCAGTGGCATTCTTCCCGCTGCCCTGACTGTGATCCCCACAGCCAACGAGGCTTGCAGTGCAGCGGGGACAGCATGGGAAATGCTCTGGTAGCTGCAGGACTCGCAGCCATGGGAGTTGGTGCAGAAGGAGCCTGAGATTATGATTCCAGGCTCCCCCTGCACCAGTGATAAGATGCAGTAGGTCTAATGCATGATTCCATAATCACATCTCCTGCCATGCATGTGTGGCATGACAGGAGGTTCATAGATTGTAAGGCTGGAAGGGACCTTGGAAGATCATCAGGTCCTGCACCAGGCAGGAAAGACAGCTGGGGTCAGGTAACCCCACCGAGGTGACCATCTAGTCTCCTCTTGAAGATTTCCAGGGTAGGCAATTGCACCACCTCTGGAGGGAGCTTATTCCACAGTCTCGACACCCTAACTGTGAAGAAGTTTTTCCTAATGTTGAGCCTGAAACGGTCTTCCAGGAGTTTGTGGCCATTACTCTTGGTTTTCCCCAAGGCTGCCCTGGTGAACAGTTGTTCACTGAGACTAGAAGTCTCAGTGAATTGATATACTCCCTTGATGTAGCAGTAAGCTGCTACCAACTCCCTTCTCAGCCTTCTCTTTCAGGCTGAAGAGTCCCAGGTCCTTTAGCCTTTCCTTGTATGGCTTGCCATGCAAGTCTCTGATCATATGGGTGGTCCTCCTGGACTCTCTCAAGCTTTACCACGTCTTTGTTAAAGTGCAGCCAGTGCCCAGAACTGGACGCAGTACTCCAGCTGCGGTCTCAGCAAAGCATAGTAGAGTGGAAGAATCACTTCTTTGGTTTTGCTGGAGATGCAGCAATTGATGCATGCCAGAGTATTATTTGCCCTGCTGGCAAATAATACTCTGGTATGACTGGATCATGCATTAGATCCCATTGTGCCTCTACCTGCATGTATAGAGGGGCCCTTAGAAAAATATCTAATATTAATATAAAGATTCCCAATGATGGAGAATCCATCATAACCCTTGGTAAGTTGCTCCAGCGGCTAATTACCCTCAATGGTGGAAACTTGTCCCTTACTTCTAGTCTGAATTTGTCCACCTTGAGTCTCCTGCCATGAGATCTTGTCCTACCTTGATTTGCTAGACTGAGGAATCTTCTAATGGCAGATTTCAGTTCCACATACATAAGGACTTCTAACTGTGACCAGTTGCTCCTTGAACTTCTCTCTAATAAGCTAAATTGGTTGAGCTACTGAAGTCTTCCATTATATTTTCTAAACCCTTATTCATTCTTGTTGTTGATTTTTTGAAACCTTGCCAATTTTTCAACATCCTTTTTGGAGCGTGGCTACCAGAATTGGATATATTTCAGTAGCTTTTGTACCAGTGCCAAATGCAGAGATAATATGTTCCCTCTACCCCTTGTTGATACTAGCTGACGTAAGGAGGAGTGAAGGGGAGTAAGAAAACCAAGGTGGTAGCAACCGTTTCTGTGCTGTTGCTGGTGGGACTCCTCTTTCTGGGGAGGGGAAAAGGAGGGAGAAAACTGAGATCTCTTCCATATTCCCTCAGCACAGAAGGTGCTGTCAGCCACGGTTATCTTTCTCTACACAATGCTTCTTAGTTTCTTCCCTTCTACAGCTTCACAACAGATATGAGAGCAGTGAAGAACCATGTCCTTCAACATTAGTGGGTGCAGGAGCCAGCTAAAAGAGGGAAAAAGAGCATGTTACATGCACTTACCCACCTTAGGAATTTACTGAGCACCAGTGGATGTTCTGGAGGTGATGTGGACGTGCTACAGTACAGCAGTAACTTTAGGTGCCTGTATATGAGTGCAGAGGCTGCTCCAATGCACTGTAATTACAGTGGAGCATGATAATTACTGTGCTCCAGCAGCTTCCCCTGTCTTGTGTTATCAGCATCCCTGTGCTTCAAAATGGTGGCAAGGGTGCTTGAACTAAAGCTCGTTGAATGGGCTTTAGTTCAAGTGCCCCTGCTGCCATTTTTAAATGCAGGGATGCTGACAGACAAGATGCTGTGGCGCTTTAATTAGAGTGGCTCTCGGATTCACTCTAATTAAAGTGCCGCCCCTCCCATCCCCAGAGCACCTGTAAAAGTGCCCTATGATGCTAACTGGCCTTTAAAGGACAGGTATAAATATATAAAATTGAAACCTGGCCTGTTCTTACAATTCTTGGTAAATGCCACAGTATTGCCAGGGGCCACCAGAAACTCTGATAAAGCAATTAAAAAATATCTTCTGAATTTAAAGTAAAAGGATATCCCAAATGGTACTGGGGCTCTTCAAATCACACTGTCTTTCCATTTTATTTACTGTAATTCGGGCTATGTGATAACCATAAAACTGCATGACATCTATTCAGCTTGAAACTGCGATTTATCAATTAATAAATACATCAGTCTATTCCAGAGAGCTCGGTAGGAAGAGATGCAAAAAGTTGCAACTGAAGAGCCCAACATGACTGGCAGCTTAAGTCAAAACACCTACAGTGAGATACATATTCATGATATGGCAGTATGGAAGAATTCTGAAGTATAAAAGTAAATAAGCGCTTGAAACTTGTTCTTGATTGTCCATGGTAGTCAACCCAGGGCTTTTAAAAACCAGCCCACGCTTCTTTCACTTTGCATATGTATTAAATTTATTCTAAGACTTCAGAAACAAAGTAGAAAAAAAAATTAAAAGAGACCTGTTTTTCTTCCATAAGAGCCTTAACAGCATATCACAGATTGAAGCAGAGAGAGATGCATTTAACATAAAGAGCAGTTTATTTTTACCTTGTGCATCTATTAACATTCGTAACGTTCCCAGAAGCTTGAATTGAACAGGGGGCATTTCAGATCTGAGAAATTTCAACACTGCTTCTGCAACGCCAGCTGATAGCATCTTAGCCTTATTTACAACTGCATGAAGAAGAACAGAAATTATGTCAAAATGCTTTTGATGATATGCTTTACTTCCAAGACAGACAGTCCTCATGCAATTTTGTCACATGGGCTGAAAAACAGCATATTAGTGTGAACCTTGTACAAAGGTGTACACGTGCACAGGTACTGAATAGATTTAATATGAATATTCTTTTTTTGGCTGCCAGGACAGAGTGTTAATTTGTTTCTTGTCCAGAAATCTAGTTCCCAGCCCTCAGTCTGAGACCTCAGTTGACTGCCAGAATTCTTGAGCTACTGGAAGACAAATCCTCTAACAGCATCTACAGAGGAAGAATAGAAATGTTCTGTGGAGACAAATCCAGTTCTAAAGGTCTGAAGTACTGTGGCCCCAGTGTTACGCTGTACCTCCGGTAAGGGAGAGAACCGAAGGATCCAGGTAATGGGGTCAACTTCTTGCTCTGCCAATGCATGAAAGCAGCTATGTAGGTTACTATGCAGGGAGTGTCACCAGCCCTGTGCAGTATCTTCCATCTCTTTGTAGCGGGTTGTGTTGGTTCCACCTCCATGGGGCTGCTCACAAGAATGAGAAGGCCACAGGGTTTCAAAATGGAACGCATTCAGTAAAGGAGGAGTAAAGAATAATGTCTGGTTCTACTCAGGATACTGAGAAGCATATATTTTATAAATAGATTATACTAGATCTCTGCTTTGGCTTATTGTATGACTGTTCCTTGTTTTAGGTTTAGGTAATCAAAATAGACAAATGAAATAATTAAAAAGAACAGTATTTAGCATTTAGATAGTACATTATCAAAGGCTGTTAGAAATCGGCTGAGTGCTCCAGCAGGCCTTCTCTATCTCTTACCCTAGATCTGGAAAATCACAGTCAGATACAGTATTCCAGAAAAGCGATTGGTGCTTCCTGTTCAGTATTACCATCTTTTGGAGACCCTCAACAGCCAGAAAAAGCCCAAACCATTGCCAAATACATGCAGTTCCACTGTACAGAAGAGACAGGGGGAGAAGCTGCACTGAAGTGTCCACTTGCCTCCCTGCATGTTGCTGAGCCAAACAGCAGAGCAGCTTTTATAGTATTACGGAAAGACAGGAGCATAAACATGGCCAATGGGTGTGTGACTTTGCTGGCTGCAAAACCTGTCCAAAAAGATGTACAAATGAGTGTGGCTTCTCTCTCTCTCAGACACATGCACACGTACCCCCTCCATCCCCATTCCCTTGCCCCAACCGCCCCTGGGCTTCACACAGACAACCAGAACTTCACTCTCAAGAAGGCAAAGTGAACCTTACCTGGAATTGCCAGGTTTCTAAGTGCACTCAGTGCTGCATGCTGCACAGTTACATTTCCATCTTCCACATGTCTGTCTAGTAGATCCATCAGCTTTTGAACTATGCCATTATCCACCATGTGGATGCAATTTCCATCTGCATGAGACAAGCCAAGTCACTTGTGGAATACTGAGCGCTATCTTGAGTGAATAATGCCTTCTCAGTATAGCAGTCCAGTTTTCCCTTTTCCCACTTTTACAGTTCAGGTAAATTAGAGCATTTGACTGCCTGTATCAACTGCAGTAACGGTAGCAATGCTACACTTCGTGTCATGGTGTGAAGAATAAAATAGAAGATATTATTCCAATATGCCCAGTAGACTACACACTGTTAAAATTATTTGAAGAGTGCATAAAAATTACTCAGGTTTAAAAACAATCCTTAAAAAGAGTGACAGAAATTCTTTAATATTATGTCTATCTTCAATATTGAAAAAAAGAGTTTGGAAAGCAAAGCTAATATCTTCCAGAAATCATGATGTGTAAGAATAATTATGATTTCCTAAAGCCAAATTTAACTAAAATCTCACCACAACAATATTCTTCACCTTTTTAATGTGTTGTGTGCAAATACATTAATGTAAATTATTATGGCATATCCTTACCATTTCTGGCAAAATTTGCAATGGCCAGTGCACCTGCAAGCTGTAGTTGATGGTTATTGGAAGGAATCCAGGAAAGCACCCTTTGGAACACGCTCCCTTTTCCTCCTTCAAATAATTTCTGCATGGATTCATCTGGAGGCAAAAAGTGTAGATGGATGACAAGCAAAAGAAATGCAAGTGTTATACCAGACTCTGCTGCCTGCTTATAATACTGATCTTCCTATAATTGTTTTCAATTTACAGGGTACAAATCTGGCCTATTAAAAATAACTAGCTAGCAAGTCTTTAAAGTTATGAGAAAGATATACTCAATATATGTAAAGTAAAATTAATCTGTCAAGTATGGCATTTCCTGCTTTGCAAAATGTACTAATACACAATACTCACCTCCAAGTAGTAATAAAACCATAAGATCAGAGGCTGTTTTAAGCTCAGCAATGTCATCCTCTTTGTCACTGTCTACAGTCTTCTGGACAATCTCGAGTAGGCATTCAACCAGACCTGCTTCAACCAGTTGCAGCTTAATGACATCTAAAGAATATCATGAATATAGGTGTTGAGATTATGAGTTAAAATATATCTATCACATACACACTGGATGCGTCTACACGTGTTATTAAGAAGAAGCAATATAATCTGGAGTTTACTGCTGTTTGAAAGTGTACCTGGGATCGCAGCAAGTTGAGCAGGGTTGGAGCAGCCCCGGCTGGCAGGGGGCTCAGGGGATCAGCCTGCCAGCCCAGGGCAGCTTCCCCCACAGCTCAACATGCTGTTGAGAGGCTGACAGGGCCAGGGAGCTGGCAGGCAGCCCCCAACACTGAAGCACCCTTGTGCCCCAGCTGGCAGTGTCTACACGTGCACTGCTGCAGAGTTTTTTACTATAGGATACAAATACTATCCTGCTGTGGAGTATATGTTTACCCCAACCTAACAGGGGCACATGTGTAGACACAGACATTCACTTCCCACCTAATTAGTCTACTGTGCAGTAAATGTCTTGTGTAGACACATGCATACAGTAGCAATACTGAGGAAATAGGAAGTGGGGAAGATATTCAGTATTGTCATTTGTTTTACTGTCTGCCTCTGTACTCCAGTCATAATAAAAATAATTTCAGTTTGAATGGCTAAAATCTATAGCTCTAGTTTCTTGTTAACACCAGGGTCAAATTCTGCTCTGTTACATTGGAAAGATTTCCCTTATAACTGAAAGTAAAGTTGAGTTCCAAGTGCCCAAAAGAGATTTCCTTTCTACTTTAGTGGTAGATAATAATGTTGCTTCAAAAGAGAAAGATATAATAATATATTTTAAAAATACAGATTGGATTCATGTAGGGATTTGAAAAACAATGTTTAAAAACCAGTAACAGATGCCCCTTAAATTTCTTACCTATTACAAAGACAAATATTGAATGGAAAATAACAGAACAGAATCAATATGATGTAAATAATTTGTAACCATGCACTAAAAAAATTGTGTGGATGTGGTCCCCCAGCCACACTATCAAGGCAAGCTTGCTATGTTTTGATGTGGTCCACCAGCCACACTATCAAGGCAAGCTTGCTATGAAGGCACAATCCTATCTTTCTCTAGAAACAGTCTACTGTTCTTTTATAGTAAATATTAATTGAAGTTTGTGTTACAGTCGGACCCAGAGGCACCAAACGGACTTGGAGGCCTCCTGTGCTAGGAATTATACAGGACTGCCTTCTGTCTCTGCCTCTAAGTTATTTCAATGCCTAGATTCTCAGCCATCTCCATGGGTAAAGAGTAAGCTTGTTCCATACAGCTGTGTAAAAGGAAATTATTCTCCCTTGTGGGGACACAATCTATTGCCCTGAAAGGAAGCTGGAACACGTTTTAGTATCTGTGAAAATGTCATGACTAACAAGAAAGGGAAAGGACTCATTAATCTCTAGTTTTTCAAGTATTAACCAGTAGGAGTGAGGAAACATGCAGTCCTGATCACGTCTTATACTCTTGCATGGACTAAATGTTAGGTGTAAGCTCTCTAGGACAGCATCTAGGATAGTCAGATCGTGGTCTATGACTGGGGCTCCTAAGTAGCAGGCAACTGTCAATCCTCTGGAAATAAATATAAATATTATATTATATTGTAATGTATTGTATTACTTATTATTATTAGCAGCATTACTTACTGAGATTTTTTTAAAAGGCAGGCACAAGAGTGAACTGCACTGAAATTAAATCTCCAATTGGCAATTGTATCTCTTGTGCCTGGGCTAGAAACATAGGGCACCTATGTAACTATAGTGTGTTGGAGCAGACTCCACTATCTTGTGTATCAGTGTCCCCATGCTTAAAAATGCCAGTGGGGGCACTTTAACTAAAGCTCTTGGAGCTGCTCTAATTAATGCGCCCTACCCCACCATGGCATGTCTATAAATGCCCATAAAGTTTGATTTGAAGTGCTACATGCTAGGGAAAGCTACAGGAAGAGAGACCCTATCAGGGCCTTTCTCCAGACTTAGAATCGCAGTGCCCTTGCACCTCTCACCCCTAAGGGGCAAGAGTATTTGCCCAGTATATCTGTGTTGTTGCTGCTTCACCCTTGCTCTTGCCTCTCAAATCATCTTTCCACAGTGGAGCAAAAGCCCCTTGGAATTATCCTCCACCATTTTCAAATCGTGCGAACCCCCTGTGGGAGCTCCTTCAATCCTGACCTCCAAGCTTGTGCAGCAGCATCACGCAGGTAGTGCTCCATTAAGTGCTTTTCACAGGCCTTGAACTGTGCTAAAAACCGCTAAGTGAAATAAAACTAGGGCCCATATGGGTCTTTTACATGCGGAAACATCACTGTTGACAATGGGAATGTCTATATGCAAATGTGAGTGCCCTATCATAATCAATGAGAAAACTCCCACGGACTTCAGTGGAGCCAAGTTGACTCCCATTAAATCTAGGGATGGCAGCAGCAGGAGCAGGGTCAAAGTCACTTTCTGAATACCGAGCTGGGAGGGTAATTTATTCCTTGCTGAAGAAAGATTATTGGGCCATATTCTGTTCTCAGCTACTGAAGTCAATGAGATACAACAAAGAGGAGGCTCATGAGATGTTGGGTTCTGTTTCTAGCTGAAGTCTCTCTTCCCCCCCACCTCCTCAGTGCCTGATGTCCCCGTCTATATCATTGGAATAATGGTGCTTTCTAAGCTCAGAAGTTAAATTTGTTGTATGAAGATATTTCTGTTACTGTTTGTGTATTGTCACTGGTCCTATAGGAAAGCATATAAATAAATGTGTTCAGTTGAGTTACACTAGTAACAAATTTGGCCCATCCCTCTTAGATCTTTTTCTAGAACCAGGAATTTTGAAGGTTATGTTTCAAAAGATCTGGGAATGGTCATACACTGAGGGATAGTGACAGGCCACCCCATCTTCACCTGCCTTAAAGGATTGGTCTGACTTTGTCCATAATATAATGCTTTTGCTTCAGTCGTAAAGTTATGCTGTTTGTGTAAAAATTCAATGTTTCTGTCAGAGCCACTGGTCTGCTCATGAACCTTATGTGAAGAGACCCAAAATGTTCAGTTGGGAGGTTTTTTTTAAATAGGTACTTTTGCACCAAGCTACTTTAAAAACTATGATGTTCCCTTGGTTACAGAATACTAGGTTGCGGTGTGTTATGATTGGAAATATAAATCATTGCACTAGGACCCTTAAAAGAGAGTTGACTGCATGCATGCCTCATTTAAATGTTCTAGCCTGCTGACATGCTCCCCACTTTCACAATTAGAGGTGGCTAAATGATATAATTGTGACAGGTTTACTGTGATAGCACATATCAACATGCTTTGAATAATAGCAAGGGGCATTCAGTTGACTGCCTCCTAACACGCACCAAATGATGTTACCTTCCACAGCGGAGCTTACTGTATTTTACTCTGACTACAAAATATAGCCTTTGTACAAAAGAATTAAGTTTAGTGAATTATAAAAATATATTTATCAAAAACCAGATCAAATTCTTCTGCCACACTGCATAGTGAGAGCTTGAGTGACATGTGTCCTGTTTTTAGGAATGCAGATGTATTTCTGTGAACTTAATTTGTATTCCGGCTCTGCAATATGAACCAATACATTCTGTCAAAACATGCATTATTAAACAGAGAGGCAAATAGTGTTTTTATCCATTGCTGGTAACAAGAGAAAAAATCTTTGCCAAAAATATACTTTTCTTCATGTTTTGAAAATAAAGGCCCTAACTGGCTGAGTAGCACATCTGAAGCAGAATTAGTCCCCTAAGCAGCAAAACAGCATACGATGCCAAGATTATTTTTTCCAAAACAAAAACTGTGAATGCCTTTTGACACTTCTGAATAACAATACTGGATAGGGTAACACATGGAGTGGGCAAGTAAGGAGCAGTCTCATAACACAAGTCTGTCTCGCACCTCAGTCCTGATCTCTTGTATCTGATATGCAGCTGATGCTGTTTCTTGTTTCCTCTTAAGCACAGATGGTAAATCACACAAACTATGTTGGTATCTCTTGAGAGCAGATGTGCTTAAAAGTTACTAGACCGACACGGAACAGCTCATTACAGACCGAGGCAGAGTTTGAACTCAATTTCTCCTGAGGTTAATCAACTACAGGCCAGATGCAAAGGTCTTAGGCACATGCAAGTTAAGTGCTGCAATGTGTAAATTTTAGGAACAAAATCTAAAAGCCAGAGTTAGACATCTGGATGCCGTGTAGAGTGTACATAGACAGGCAGACATCTCTGAAGGACAGTCTTAAAAACCCAAACAGTGAACTGCCTAGAGCTAGCTAACAGGCAATGTTAAACACAGGGGTATAACTGTTTTCTACCGTTCTCTCTGGAGCCTGTGCACTTGAGTTGGGGCTGCAGGCAGGTACCTCTGTCCATTCTGGATTTGGAGCCCCAAATTCTCTCATAAAAGTGGCAACCTACAACTGTTTTTCAAAGATATGAGATAGTGTCAGAGGTGGGATTAGGACTCAGGAGTTGCTGACCCTCAGGCATATATGCAGGTAGTCAGGAAATCTTTACATTTTATTCTCTCTGCAGTTACTGGCAGACTTAGGCAATGCGGCATCTCCAGGAAAGATTACATTGCTGAGCAAGGTGACAAAATTCCTGCCAAATCAATATTTTTTTTAACAACTGGCATACAGATAATAGTCTATGAGGGAAAAAATAGAAATGACTGTCTCAAAAAGGAGGTTCAACTTCCCACCATTTTCTGCCAGAGGAGCCAAAACTTCAAAAATCATCTCTTTTTTGTCATGTTCTATTTGCTTCTTGAATAGTTTCACAAGCTCTTCAGCAATGTTTGTGTAGGCAAACTGTTCTTTGCTTGATTCTGTGAAGCAAAAGGGAAAATTGAGTATAGAGTAAACAAACCAAGTCAAAAGGTAGAACTGTTTTCTCTTCTCTTCACTACCAGATTTATTCAGTACAATGATTAATAGGCCTAAGTGCTCTTCACAGACAAGAACAATACACGCCAATACTAATGCTTGTCACTAAATGAAAAGGAAAAATGTCTAGGGCTTTAAGATAAATGTACTGACTTAAATTATTAATTATGTTCAAGGCTGTTAAAAATTTGCACCAGCAGAATGTAAAAGTATCCATAGCAACAGAAAAATTACAAAGATATAAATTAAGACTTTGACTGTCTTCAGAGTAACAAGAAAAATTACACATTATGTACTGAATTTTCTAGGCCGAGATGAAAGGTCAGACTGAGATCTTTAATATTTACATGGTTGCAGGCGGGTGGCATTTACTTTTGAATTTTTGCACAGATGAAGCCACAAGGACAGATTTTCTTCAGTGAACGGGGCTGCTTCACACTGCCAACAGTCAAAAAGCCCGAGGCTGAATCACTTCAGTCTTCACAAGTTAGTTAAAACTGCGTAGATTGAACTGATAAGCAAGTGAACATACGTTCACTTTTGATTCTGGAAATGCAGTCATGTCTGCAGTGGCCTAGCCCAGAAGCTGGGGCATGCAAGAGCCCTCCTCCCTGCTTGGCTGCAGCAGACAGTTTGGGCCAAGGCTAGCCCACCCACCCTGCGGGGGAGTGGGGGAGAGGGAGAGGTTTGCGGGGAGAGGTGCAAAGCATCCTGGGATGCTGGGGGACTGTGAGTGAACTTGAATCAGGAAGGATCTGGGACAGAAGTTCAATAACTGATTTAATTTTAATGAGTTCAGTCTAATACTACATCTGTACCTGTTTATCTTACACTAGTTTTGGCCATTTTGAAAGTGGTTTATGTGAACTGAACTTCTGTGATATTACAGATTTAAGCCAGTTTCTGATTACTTATACTGGTGTGTGTGCAACTTCTGTCCCTAGCCAAGAAGATTAACAGGGTTAATCACCTTTTCACCTCAGTGAAGAGGCATTACAGGTGTGGAGTCAACACATCAGGACTCCTACACTCTACCTATTCAACTCTAATGGTCAGCAGTAAAAGAGAATGTGTTATCCAAATCCAGCAATCCAGATCAGTTGCAATGGTCTCCTGCTGCCATTGGCAGTGGGTGTTTTATAGTTGCATTCAGGCTGCTCTAATTTATATGAGGGAGATCCTTCTAGTGCACACTTGGCCCAGGATTGGGGAGGCACAGTAATGGTGTGCCCTGGCATACAAATGCCAGCCTGTGTTCATTTAAGAGTGCCTGTGTATCAAACACATTTTGATGTTTTTAGTATTGCAAAAGGTAAAAGCCAAATTCTGAGCTTAGTTACGATAGCACAAATCAGAAATAACTCCATGGAAGCCAAGGGCATTATTCAGAATTCACTGCCATTTGACTGTGATCAGAATCTGGGAAAAGAAAAACATCTATTCTTTGTTCCTTTACTTGTGTTCCTTTACTTGAGTCTGCAGATCTCAGAGGACTAATAGAAATGCAGTTTCTCAAAGCCAATCATGCTCTAGTGAAATTAAAGTGAGTTTTGCAATTTACTTCAACAGAAGTGTGATCAGAACTCCTGAGAGCAGAAACAACTCAGTGAAGAGTGGAGGGACTGTGTAATCCCTCCAAATGCTGTAAAACTCTAGCTGCCCATTTCTCCTGCACTGACATGGCAATTCTGCCTTCCAGCGTCCAGCTCTCAGTGTGAACTGTGGGTGTGCACACAAAAGAGTAGCTTTTAAAAGTGACAACCCCAAAGGGGGCAATGTAATACTTTACGGGGAAGACTCTTTTATACACAGATGAAAATGAAGTGAATACGTTTAACTCTTGCCACTGTTAGTCTGGTTTATCATCTTTCCTTACAACTTCAGCATGATTTATTTCAGCATTTTTTCCTGTTCTTTCATTAGCCTTCTTCAATTTCAAAATTACTTTGGAGACTAAACAATTTGAACCTGATATATTGCATCTGACTTGAGGCAAAACGCTTACTTGAATTTCTTCTCTGACTGTGTAACAAGGAGAGAGTCCTGATAACCTTATTTGATTTTTGCAGTGAAATGTGCTCTGATCCAAAATGCTCTTGCTAGGATCAGCAGGTTAAGTGCCTTCAGATCCCTTTATCATCTGGACCCTAAATATGCAGCTGCAGCTGTAAGCAGTCAAACATTTTAATGAAGCTCATGCAGAGCTTGATCCAAAGCCTACTGAAGTCTCTCTGGATCAGTTCCATGTTGCAGTACAGCAGCAATTCTCCACACTAACATTTTCTTTTTTCTAGAGAAAAGTGGGCCACTTCTCAGATCTTGATATCTCTCTGTGCTCATACTCAGGAATGTTAAGAGGAAAAGCATTTTAGCATTTATGGCCTGACATTTAGTCATTAAAACTAAATTTCCATAGGGGCCATAAATACAGCCTCTGTTTCTACCTGCAACTGAAAATGTTAGTGTTAAGTTATCTGACAACTTGATTTGCAGAGCCAAAACAGAGGCTGTTTTTAGTGTTTTGGTGTCCTTTTTAAGCAAGCAGAACAAATTTAATGTCTCCCATTTAATGTCTCCTGATTCAGAGGCACTTTCAACTGAGTGCAAGAGAACCACTATACTGCCAAATTCCCTTATTTCACATGCATCTACAAGTAACTTGCAAGTAACAACCATTGCTACTCAATCTGCACTCCTACCAGGCTTGCATTTTATTTTTAGCACAGGAGAAAAGAAGGTCTACATAATGCTGCAGAAGTGAATTAGCTGCATTATACATGCTCTCATTGAAGAGATGCAGACCACAGGATAAAACCCTGAAGTTATGAAACAAAGTTCTAATACTAATCTAATGCTGAAGTAGGGTTCAATTATTTTAAAAAATAAGGTAAGTTAGTATAAGACTAACAGAACTGGAGATTGCTTTCAGTATATGCATGATAACCAGTATGGTAACATCAGCAACCACAGAAGTTTGCCTGATATTGTTTTGCATAAGTAAGTACTTTTAGTTTCATTTGGACAGACTAAGACCACCTCTAAAAATTGGAGGGTATGATTCAGTGCACGCTTCTTCTTTTCAGAGGAGAAACCATCAAATATTACAATTAATTCATATAATTTGTATTATTTATTTGTACTGTGGGAGCATTCATTTTTCAATAAAGGTGTCTATTCCAATGTACAGACATATATAAAACATAGTCTCTAGTCTGAATATTTTACATCTAATACTTGGTAGAAGTGCCATTTATGATGACTCTTTTTGTCAGATTGTGATACGGACACTTGTCCTTCAGTAAATAAACTGGGCTTGCTGCAAGGATTCCTGTGTGAAATGTTATGTACTGCTAATGCACAAATAGTCTGTCTAGCTTTGAAATCTGGGATTATGAGATAATTTCAGGCCACCAAACAGCCATCACATGCTACTGATGTCCATCCACACCACTGGTTTCTCTAAGTCACAAGTCACATACATTCTTTTGCCAGTATTTTGATGTGCGATGTTATAACTGTTTCTGGGAACATCACTACTGCCCCTTAGCAAAAAATATTGTAGGGTAGCATGCACAGGATATTTGTTTGTATTAGGGTAGTATTTGGCCTGTAGTTCAATTAATGCCTATTATACACTATACTCAGTATAAAACACACAAATAAGAAAACACAGGGCCAAACACACTTGGCTTATACGCAATTCCATTGAAAGCACTAGTATTTTATGGGATGTCAGAGTAGAATTTGGGCCACAGATCTGACCAAAATGTGTTTTGATCAAATTTTACATACTTTTCTAAGGCTACAGACAGCCCTTACATTTGTTCTGGGAGAAACCATTTTGTCCCAGGACTGAATCAATGTCAGAAAAATGGCAGTGCATTTGGCGGCTCACTAAACCCTGACTGAAATGGCTATGTCTGTACACACCAATCCCAGGACTTTTCTGGTCCGGGACAAACAGAAATGCAACATTGTTCCTAGCTTAAATGTAATGGTGACTTTATCTGCTTAAACTTAAATCAGCTCCTTCCTATCAATAATTAGTTATAGCCACATATTTAACCTAGGGCATCTTAAAGCTCTACTTTTTAAAATGAGGACAAGTTTATGAAATGGGTGGGCACATCTACACAAGACACTAGAAGCGCAGTAGACATTCTGTTGTACATTAGCGCATCACGGTGAAAGCCATGCTAATGCACTGGTGTGCACCAGAATTAGTCTACAGTGCATTAGTGTCACACAAAAGATGTGCACTGATGCTATTGTGCAGTAGCGCTGTTTATGGCACATTAACGTACATGTAGACATGCCCAATGTATCCCTGGTCCCATTTAGTGAATGTTTTTCCTTGAGCTGAGCCAAATTTATCTCCAGTTTGACTTTATATGCAGATAAATTAGGGTTATTACTATTACTTATTATTTGCATTATCTTTTTATCTCGGGGTTTTAATAGGCAACAATAATAAGGAGATAAACCCTGAGTAATTTAAAGCACATTTTGTTACATTAAATAAACTTAACTTAATATGTACAATGTATTAAGGACTCAGAGAAATTTAAGTTTGTACAAAAGGCAAACAAACTACATATGCTAAAGAAACAATAAAGAGAGCTCCAGTGCTTTATATTTTTGTATACATTAAGAAGAATGGAAAATTCTTTGTAAAATTGATTATGTTTAATCTTAAAAAGATAAATACATTGTATGCAATTTGGGATTAGGATCCTGGACTTACCAAGTTCTGCTAAATTTCCAAATGCAACAAGGCACATTTCAGTCAGAGCTGCATTTTGACAATGTATGCCCAACAATTTCACTAATGTAGGGATAACACCCATATTGATAAGCTGAGATTGCAGAGTATCTACACAGAAAGAAAATACAATGATGAGTTAGCATTTCTGTTTGCAGTGTTACTTTTCTTTGAAATGTAAATGCATTTTGTACAACACAGGCTACCTTTAACCTAAACAAAACTGAAATACCCAACTCCTCTTATATTGCTTAACATAGTTGTAGGACCTGATCCAACCATGGAACATGGACCCAAAACTCCCCTCTTTTTTTTTGGCTACATGACATAATCCCAAACATTTCCTCCTGATTTGGCCAAAAGGTATATCTCAAGTTTCCAACTCTTATTAGTTTTGTGTGCATTTCCCATTACTGGACCCTTAATAATTTAGTTAAACAAATAAAATTGGTGTTAAAATAGTATGGGTTCACACAGTTCACCAGACTTCTAATATATTCTGATCTTGATTCTGAGCCAACTTACACTGGTGCAGGTCAGGAGTTAATTCCACTGAAATCAACAGAATTACTTTAGTATAAAACTATCCGATTTGAGAACATGCTTCCAAATAGTATTTTCCCTTAAAGACCCAAACTGAAAAAGAATGAATATAAACTGGCATTGAAAAAAACATGAAAAGTTATATAAAAACAGGAAGCCACAATGTAGATTATGAGGAGCTTGAGAAAAAAAGAAAGTTTAATAAGACAAAAAAAAGAAGGTTTGAGAGAAGCCCTTAGAAGCCATTATGATAATTTCTTTCAGAGAATGGAAGTTTACAGTATTTACAAGTAAAGAAGTTATTGTTCCTAGGTGTCTGCAAATAGAAAGATGCTTTGATGGTTAGAGGCAGAAACATGATTTTTTTTAAATTAAAAAATGGATTATTTATAACAGTTTTTTCTGTTATACAAATTTATCTATGATATAGCAGAGAAGAGAAAAACATTTATTTCACAGTTGAATAGAATGAAGTAGACATGGACACATCATATGTTACCTGGCAATTTCCCTGAATTTTTTTAATTCTAAGGAAGTAATCTAGTTTTAAAAACAGTGAATGCAAATGGCATGTTCCAGAGCCCGATTAAAGTCTCTCTAATTTCCGTAAGCCTTGAATCAGGCCCTAAAAAGGGTTAATTTTATTCAGGGACTACGTCTACCCAGAGAGTTTTTATGTCTATTGGAGTAGAATCAGAACTATAGAGAACTGGACAGGTGTTATAACCAAAAGATATTGAGCATAGCAAATGTGGTACTATCAGCTCTCATATTCTGAGAAAAAGTTTGACATTGGACAGAATTTTTCAAACTAAAGTTGTGTATCATTTTTATATAGCCAATATTACAGATTAATCTCCTAGAGCACGTTTGATATCTCTTTGGTATGCAGTACTGTTCATGAGAATAAAAATAAACAGTTATGTACACTAATAGTCAGATGGGCACTTCAATTGTTACAAATATTGAGGATGACCAGGAATCATTATAATTGTGGCCAAGCATCCTAAGTCAAATAAAACTGTTACTTACCAGCAACTGAATTTCCTTTACTGAATTTCCACAGATCCATATTCTTTATAGAGATGTATGAGAGCACCACCTCAGTTATTAGATAGCTGTTGAAGCTGTCAAATTTCAGGTAAGTACACATATGCACTAGCGCATGCACTGAATAGCATTTTACCTCCAGTATATGTCTGTGTTGGTACCACACCATGCCTCAGTTCCACTGTAGAAATGTAATCCTTAATAAAAAGGCAGAAGGGAGAGAATGGATCTGTGAAGGAAATGATCCAGGTGGAGAACTTCAGTAACTAGCAAATACCTTATTGTTCACCTTAATTTGGGATTATCTTCCACAGATCCCTACTCTTTGGAGATTCTGGATTATTGTCCTTGAAGGAACGAAGGCAGGGAGGCACTGAAGAGTAGAGGGAAACAGATGCATAGCACAACCACGTGGAAAATGGTCTGAATGGGGTTCTTCATCTATAGAAGTTGCCTGTCAGTTATGGATAGTTCAGGATACTCAGGGATAACCGTCCTCAAAGAAGTCACACATATGCAGAGGTACTTATCCATCTGCACAGGCTCTCTTTAGAAACACAAGGACCCTCTGGATTCATGTCCAAACACAACACAGAATTTCGTTATCATAAACTTAAACTCTCTGCTCAGACAATAACTTGTTCTGAAGTCTTGTTTAATGCAACATAGATTCTCTGCCAGATATCAAAGGTCTGCAGGACAAGGCAACATACCAAGATAAATCTAAATTCTACCTTTGGAAAGAAACAGGAATCTTAAGGACTAACTTTTAGTAATGGAAGGCTAAGCCATAAATTATTTAACAGGACTCATGGCTAAATGACTTTCGGGGCAGTTGGCAGGACTACTAAGGAAATAAAATCAGAGACTGGGTCAGGAAAGCATTACTGTACAGACTCAAGTCAGGTTTTGTACATGACTCCAAACCAACTTTCACTCTCATAGGATGATCCACCTGAAAATAGGAATTAGCTTAAAAGTCAAAGGGTCTTAAAATGTCTGTGAAATGGAAACATTCAGGCACAGACAGATGCAAGATTAGCTTGAGAATTGCAAAACATCAAAAGTGAAAGACCCTGAATGGTTCTGTGGCTCTTAAGAACATGAGTTTGAACCTACTGGTGACTAGATCAAGCTCCACTCTTAAATTTAGAAAAGTGTTTTTACTTGAAGACATATTTTGTGAGGAATATCCCTAAAGAAAATGTCACTGAATATGAGTTGCAAATGTTTATGTTCCAAATTCACAGCCAGAGGACAACCCTTGAGAAGAAGCTTCTCTCACCTGGATTTAACCTCTGAGGGATGACAGGAATGAGGGGCAGTGCTTAAGAATGCTCAACTTCTCCCTTGACAAAAGACCTGCAACGCTTTTTAGACCTTTGACACCTTGTAGTGATTCACTCTTCAGAACAGTAACTGATAGCAATGCTACACTGAGGTTTCCTGCACTGGTCACCACAGATGGAATAATTCAGGAACATCAACCCTTTGGAGCCTCAGATACTTGGACTCCACCAAAATGGGATCCAGATTTGAGAAAAACACTCAATCATTCTGATAGACATAGGGCCACTATGTAAAGCAACTTGACTTCAATAAGTCAATGGAAGCTTCCTAGATTACTTCACAGTAGAATTTGTTGCATTCTATCTTAACAGGAACCAAAAATTGTAAAACTTTTTCCCACCCCTTTACTCCTAATATTTATCCACAAATATTAACTCAAGTATTACAGAATAATGCAGTGTCTCAGCGATAGCCATTCCTACATGTTTTATGAGAGAAAAGGCCTGAGAGGGGTGCAGTACAGATGTATATACAGGGAGATATAAGGCAATCAATACATGCGCCAGTGTAAACAACTACCTACCTAAAACTTGAATTTCAATCATTCCGTGTCCTTCAGGTGACACGCAGGGAAACTCCAAAGAATGGGATCTGAGGAGAATATCCCAAATTGAATAACTTTATTTCATAAGTCTGAGTTTCAATTATTTATTTAGGCTAGATCATTATTATGGACAGAATTTCAAATAATACTAGTAGTGATGTAATCAACGTTGCTGATGAAAGATTAAAAGGAAAATCTAGCTTCAGCAAGGCTGTAGCATTTATTTCATACCCAAGAACAAACTGCTGGTAATCAACATGCCTATAATAAATTATTTTATAAAATTTAAATGATAATTATTAGTTACTTGACTACTATAAAAACATACTTTTACATGTGCAATAAGGTCTCTGGAATACACTGAAGTATATTTATGTCTGCAAGCACACTAAACAATTTTAGCTGTGATGCAAATGAAACACAAACCACTGCAGACATGGAAATTGGCAACACTGAATTTGAAAAAGAAATATTACTCAATTAATGATTACTTTTAGGCTGTAATGGTGGTGCCATAGATCTCCTCTTCATTTCTTGTATATTGACAGTTTCTATAGATGACAAGACATGTTTTGTTCTGGTGTTTTTTTAAGCAGACCACAAAAAAAACTGGCAAAAGTAATTCCAATCACATGCTGACAGAATTTTTAAGGCAGAGAGAGTCTTAGCTGTTGTACAAAGCAACATCAAGATATTTTACAAAGGCACTGAATGAAAGATAAATTTGCAAGATTAAAGTTTAATGTGAAATGAAATTAGAGAATAATTTATGAACAAAAATCATTGCATACATATAGATTTACATACACATACAAGCGCTATCCTGACTTCACTTCTTGCCTACAACTTGATTGTCTAGGAAACAAAGGGTAATCAGCATGGTTCTTTCATTAACTGTTTTTAAAAAGTTTCTGGAGATTGCTTTATACATCCCAGAAACCTAAAGAATGCCTACATAATCAGCTGAGTTGTCTCTGTTCACATGGGGAGAACAAGAGAAGTAGTCTAACTAGGAAAGACATTCACCTAAGTAAAGGTCTGCAATATCTGGGACTTACCGGGTACCTATACAAGTACATTCAGGCTGTTCTGATGTACTGTAATTACAACGCGTCAGAGCAGACTCAATTAATTGACTCTGCTGGAGTGTGGTAATTACCATACTCCGGCAGACTCCAGCATGACATGTATCAGCGTCCCTGCACTTCAAAGTGGCGGCAGGGGCAGCGTTCCCTCTAAGCTGTGTGGTGTGCGTGGCCGCACATGCGTGCTCATGCTGCGCTGTCAGGCGCACCTGCGCACACCATGCAACTTAGAGGGAACGCTGGGCAGGGGCGCTTTAACTAAAGCTCATTCAATGAGATTTAAAACACTCCCACTGCCATTTTTCAGCGTGGGGCCGCTGGTACATTTGATGCTCTGGTGCTTTCATTAGAGTGGCTCTTGGAATTGCTTTGATTAAAGTACCCCCCCAGGCACATGTATAAACGCCCATTCTGCCCACCTCCCTCACCCACACACCCTCATGGATAGTAGAGCCTGCTGAGTGTGAAGGGAAAGCATGCTGCACTTGTAGCAAGGTGTCAGAACTGCTGCCACAAACCAGCTACTCAGCACCCCCTCTGATGTTCCTATAGCTTGCAATAGCCAGAATCTAGCCCACTGTTTCTTGCTCTCTATTTCTGTTTCTTGTATTTCCTTCAAGACCATGCCATAAAAGAACAGATTCACAAACATATATAGCATGTTCCTCTTACTTCTAGATGCACACAGAATTTGTACTATTAGTTTTAAAATACAACGTGGAGGAGGGAGAGATTTGTGTCAGATTAAGTACAAGTGACTTGAACGAAAATGAAATTATAGTATAGAGTTAAGACTTTTTAAATGCTGGTAAAAGGGGCATTTTGATTGGTAAAAACCATAGCAAAATGGTTTTTGTTTCTATGGTACATCTGCAAGTGTTATAGGAGATGCCAATTACAAGTTCTCTTGCATAATGTCACTGAGATAAATGAAAGGATGAGATGCTGAGAGGGATACAATGAGATATATGAGCAACAGCAAGCCAAAATAATGCCTAAACAGAAGCAGACCCACATTCCATATGTAAGAAACAAGAACCATACACAGAGTCTTAGCGTGTGAACTTACAGAACAGAACATGAATGGAATTACAGTTGTAAGCTAAACCAATCCTAATTAAATGAGATCCTAAATAAGGAGGAGACACAATTTTAAATTATTTCCTTTGTATACAGTACAGGAGCTTGTCTCCAGTTACTTGCTTGAAAAATTCTTGTGTGGTAAATGCAACAACTTGAGATACTCTGCTTTCAATAACTTCAGTAATGAGTCTCTCATAAAAAAAACATAAGGAGGATACTTGCTATTTGAAAAGGACAATTAATTATCAAATTGAGACTAAGGAAAGCTTTAAATCAAATAATCAAAATAATGTGCATGCTTTTTGTCCATTGACAAAACTGTGAAGTTGCTTGCAGATATTTGAATGTGACTCAGCACCAAAATGCCCTGTCACTGTTCTTATTTGAACTGCTAGTAGGACATGGAGAGTGAAAGTGTTTACAGGTGATTCCCACCCTTAATTTTATAGTATAGCATATTGTATAGAAAAAGGAAAGAACATAACACAAGGTAAATGTGCTCCTTCCTAGGTTAAGAATGTGTTTCTTCTTATATTTTACTGTATTTTTTCTTTAATCTTTGGCTGATTTTACTTTCTTTGGTAGCCACCAACTAAGTAATTTAAGCATTTTAAAATACAAACTCACTTTCTTAGTCCCTCAACAAAGCCACTGAACGCTGTTAACTTCTCCATCAAGAATGAAGATCAGACAATTATGGCAAATATTATGTTTCCCTCTTCCCCCCACCACAACATTTTTTTTGTTTTTTTGCAGTGCAGTTTGGGCCTCTGAATAATTAGTTATGGGTTCACGCTGATTAAATGCCCCTCATGGTATTTGATTTTGCCTGTAACCCTGTAGTTAAGAGGTGCCTGTCTTCAGAACAGTATCCACTAGACCAAGACTTTGTTTTGAAATTGAATATACATAATAAAGGTGGCCATTGTTCAAAAAAAAAAAAAATTGTAGCTCTTTATAATATTTGGGCCAAATTTTCAAAGAAGGTCACAGTTGAGGCATTTGGATCTGCACATGCATCTGTTGTACCCCTTGAAAAAGATATAACAAATCTTGTGTGGTGAAAACAGGCCAAATATCCATTTATACCTACACGTACCTTGTGCGTGACCCAAGTGTCAGTTGGCATAGGCACAACTACTGACTCTTCCATTGAAAATTCAGCTCTTTAAGTCTTCTGTCCATGTTACCCTGGCAATTTATTTAGGGCCCAATCCAATGTCCACTGACACCAATGAACAAACTTCAGTTGGCTTCAACAGGTGTTTGATCAGTTGTTTAGTTCCTTGCTAAAAGAAGTAACACTGCTTAAAGTTAAGTACAGAGGAACCAGCGTACCCTTTTTTCTGACAGGGACATGCATGGTTTTTGTTAGCTGCATTAGGAATGATTTTCTTGGATAGACTTGGCAATATTTATAACTGTTGGATCGTTCATAAGGTTTATGTTGTAATGACTATATCTAGAGAAGGACTCATGAGATCTTAGTCACTGAAGCAAGGCCAGTGAAGCACCTCTGTAGTAAAAAGCTTGCACTTTTGGATTGGTTTCTCCCCCTCACTATCAGAAATACTGTATACTCTTAGGGCACTTGTATACACATTTACATCGCTGTGCCAGGCACTTTTAAAAGCACCCAGCGCTGCAGCGCATGCATTTGTATAAATGGAGAAATGCACATCAGCACTGAAAAATGGCAGCAGTGCGCTTTTGAACTAAAATGCATTGAAGGTGTTTTAGTTCAAAAGTGCCCCGCACCCATTTTCTCAGCACTGACGCACATTTTTCTGTTTATACAAATGTATGCGATGCAGCGCTAGGCACATCAGCTCATGTGCAGAGCAGACTTGATTAATCAGGATTTCCAGCACGTTGGAGCAGAAAAACGTGTGTATAAATGCTCATAAGTTCTAATTAACACCACAGCATCCAGAAATCCAATGTACAGATAGAGAATGTTAGTCTCAAAACATTTTAAAAACAGAGAAAATGAAGTAACAACTCAGAGAACTAGAGAGAAGGTGACTCTCGTACAGCAAAATATCGCATAGAAAATATATGGAATAGAAGTGGAAAAGCTGAAATTTAAGAGCAACAAGAAGTGCTACAAGTAATAATTTCTGCAAGATACTAAGGTAAGGTATGAATAAAAGAATGAAAGAGCAGGGGGGCAGGAAACAAAGTCGCAAAGTTAGTGACATCTGTTGGCTAAAGAGAATAGAGTCTAAAGGATGAGTATTCAAGATAGATGGAGCAACCAAAATCAAGCAAACTATCCTCAATGAGAGAATTTGCAGACAAGATGTTAAGACGAGAAAAGAATGAAAAGAAGTAGTTGGATAGATGATCAAGAACGATTAAGTCCAGAGAATATCCTGAAAAGCAGGAGAACAGCTTTTAAGTAGGCATGGAAAGCATGTAAGTTACCTAAAGAAAGAAAGAACTTCACCTCAGGCAATACCCAGAATATCAGGCTCCTAATAAGGAACCTATTCCTTTCCATGATGGAACAGTACAGTTTAGGAAATGGCCACAACTTGATGGAGCAATCTGACTGGTTAAATTTCCAATCCATGTCATAATGGGAACAGGTGTACATTTTGGAAGGTCATTGCTCTATTCATTTTTGCTTTTTTCCCTGAATGGCTCAGATTTTTTAAAGCTAGCACAAGGTGAGAACAGTGCAAATACACACCTATTAGCTACTATATTTGCACGTACAATTAAACTATTCACCCAAATGCCCATTTCTTTGTGTACAACTCCTCTCCTTGGAAAACTATATTTGCTTAGATTCAGTAGTCATGTAAAGTACCATATTTTTTAAAATTTCATCTTCCTGTTCCATACCTCAATTCACTGTGATAATACTGTATTTACTCAAATACAACATAAAGTTTTCCTGCACAATTGGCATGGGGGAAAAAGCCACTTATTTTATAATCACATCCAAGGGAATTTTATAATCATATCCAAGGGGATCTCAATAAATACTCTGACTGTCTTTAAACTACTGCCAAAAGCAGCATGTACTGGAAACCAACTATGAAGTTGATTAACTGTAGTCAACACTGAGCACGACTATAAAACACATGGCCCACATCTAGCAAACATTCTGATGGAAACCTTTTTTTTGTGTGGCCCTGAAAAAAACGGGTGGGTGTCGGCACTGGGCAGGGAGGTACTGCAATACCAGTCTGGCACTGGGAGGGCCAAAGTTAGCCCTGACACCCTCCCCTTGGTGCCAAAAATGCTACATTTGATCTTAGTCAAAAAGGCCATGTTTTTCCTCCAGATTTATTTTCCCTGATGTGGGAGGAGGACACATTCAAGGCAAACCTCCAATAATTAGATTCTATATTTGGAAAATTATAACAGAAAATTATAACTTCTTTTCTGTCAGAGTTCTCAGGGCCTGGAATAGACTCCCTCCAGAGGTGGTGCAAGCACTTACTCTAAATACTTTCAAAAAAATACTTGGATGCCCATCTTGCTGGGATCATTTGACCCCAGCTGACTTCCTCCCCTTCGGGCAGAGGGCTGGACCCGATGATCCTACGAGGTCCCTTCCAGCCCTAATGTCTATGAAATATATGAACAAATTTATACATTTTTTTCCATGTACAGAATCTAATTACTGGGGGGGTTGTCTTATAATCAGGGTTATCTATTCAAGTAAATACAGTAATAAAATCCAAACACTTGTGATTTGCAGACTTTAGAGGAGTGGCAGAAGGCTATATAATTTAGTTCCCATTTATCTGGAAAAACAGAATAAAGTGAGTTTTTACATATGTTTCCACAAGATACATAATTAAAGATTAAGTGTTTGATAGATACCTGAAAATAAATAATTATGTGTAAGCAAGACAATGTGAGATATCAGGGATGCTTTACTATTACCTGACGCTTTTATACTAAATAAAAAAGAGGATTTAATTCAATCTAACTTTCATCTGTTCCCAAAACAGCATTGTATATGCACATGGATATATGCATTCATTTTTGACATGCAAGAAAATTCTTAATTCAAGAGACTTCTTATAAAAACTTATACAGTACACTACTATTTTTACGCTATTTTGAATCTTCACTAAGGGAGTAAATAATGTTTTTGTTGCAATATATTTTACTCTTAATAAAAATAGTATGCTTACATGTTCCACTGAAATATTTGGCTACTTGTTTTCATTTATCTTTAGCTTCCTAAAGTATAAACCTATGGATGATTTTTTAGATTCTCTGGAGGGGGATGGGGGATTGGCAGACATAAAGCAAATTTTCAGTGTTGTTTACCATTCTCATTGCTATAGTTCACCAGCATGCCACAAAAGACAGTCAAGAGCTTCTCACTGGCTGGATCTGTTTTACTGCACAGTGACCTTAACTGGTCTACTACAATCTGTGCACCACCTGCATGGTCAACTGCACTCCTGCCCTCATCTGTAAAACAAAGAGTTAAATTAAAAAAAAATGAAAAAAACCCCACCTTAGAGTTCCAAACATAACAATAATAATACAAAAGAAGTTGTTCTTAAACAGAATGAAGCGATTCCTTCAGGGAGGTCAAATTTATTTACAAGGACACTTGTGGGCCATATTTTAGTGTAACAGTGTTAGGAAAGTGAAATTATGCTACAACAAAAGGATAAATCAACTGGCATTAATACCTTTGTAAATAACAAGTTCAGGGCTTGAGTCAGAGTCACCAGAGGCAATAAATAATAACACTTCAAACATTGGTAGAATTTTTCCATTTAAGGGTCTCGAAGCAATTTACAAATTCTAATCTGTGCACTATTGTGAGGTAGGTAATCTGTCCTAGCCACCATGCAGACCCTTGAAATGGAAGCACAGGGAATAAAAAACACTCAGTCCCTGAAAAACAACAGGGAACGGAATGGGAAAAACAGTGCAGACTGGGCTTTCCACTCTCTTATTCTGTTCACTGGATATCATTGCTTCCCTACTTTCCAATTTGGCAGCCTAAATTTAAAATTTTGGACTATTTTCCCTTCTCTACCACCAAGGTGAAGATGATGATCTACTGTAAATTAACAACAGGCCAAAATGAGCCTTCATGTTACATGTCATATTCAAACACTCTCTCTCTCCAAAAAATCATATTGTAAGGTAAAGGCCGTTTAGTGTCACTGTCTTTCTTAGGCTGGTAACCAGCAGTATGCAGCTCTGATGCTCTAAAATACATGGGTCTTAAAACAAGGCATTGGTTATTATTAGAACTAAATGGAAAATTTCAATGGAAACAAAATCTTGACTGAAAAAAAAAAGAAAAGAAAAGTTTAGCAACCTCCCCACCGCTGCCCACTTCCTTTTCCCTATTTGTTTAGTGATCTAGTAGCACACCCCCCTTCTACTTTGGCCTCCTTTACTGGGCACCCTCTCAACACTACAATCCCTCCCCCACCCCTGAATTCTTGAGAGCACGCTACCAAGTCCAACTCACTACTTGCTCCTCCATATTCTGCAAATGAAAATCAGATTGTTCAGATTCTGAGAATGATCTTCCATGGGAAATGCAACATTGAATGCTCCCACCTTCTATAACAAGATATTGTTTTCAATCTTATTAACACTGTGTCTTTTTCCTTAGTCTTTAAACAATTTGCTCAGCAGAGCAGGAGGATGAAGATGGGAGAATGGCCTTATGATGGTCAACAGAGTTGCAGGTGTCTTCCAGTTTTTCGGGTCAGTATCAGAATTCTGGTGTTTCTTTCAATAACAACAGAGACACAACGCAGAAACAGTAGCAACAGAAAAAGAAGTGTAATATCATATTCATTTCCCTTTGGGCTGATTAATGCTGTTGGGAATATGATTCATAGTAGGCATGGACGTTTTCTTTGAAAAATGTGAAATCTGAATCTGTTTACAATCAAACAGATATTCAGGGAAGAAGTCTAGGAAAACCAAGACATACAGAACAACAGAAATGGTAAAGCAAAAAAACAAACACCTCCTCCTCCCCTGAGCCTGAGGCAGTGACAAATGTAGGAATAACACTGAGATGAAAGCCCTGTCCAGTGGAGTCACACAATTCATCAATGCTAGGATGCCAGGTTAAAGTGGCCATAGTAGCAAGTGAGCAGGGAAAAAATCCTTGGTTGGACGAGTCTGTGTTCTCATTTCCTTTCCAGCACTGAAACAATTAAAGATATGTCCATTAACATGGAAATAAAAAATATCACGATATTGCCAATATTCAGAATAAATGGACTTCATTCTAATCTCAAACTATTGTAAAGCACTCAAAGTCAATGGAATTAAGGTAGTGTAGAACTAGTCTGAAATTAAATAGGATGCAAGATCTGGTTCTTATACTCTCTGAATCAATTTACACATAAATATGTGAGGAAAGAAACATGCAAAAGTAGGATGAGTTTTTCCTTTTTTCTAGTCATAGCAGAAAAAAACAACAACTGATGGTACTGTATCAACTTATGCCACATGAGGGTCTTACCCTGTAAATCCTTCCATTCCATTGTCAGATTTGTCAAAGAAATTAAGTAAGGAATATTATCATGCTGTTCTAAGTACTTTGCATTTGATTTCAGCTGCTTGACAGCATTAACAACATACTGATTAAATAAGTATATAATTAGCCTGATTTTATATGTACTAAAACTAAGGCTAAGGGGAAAATCCTGTTCCCTGCACAAAGCACAAATGACCAAGGCAGGAAGGAACTCTTCAGGGAGACTGGGGGTGGTCAGAAGATCAGAATCCTTCTCATCTAGGTGACAGGCTACAGAGTCCCTATGCAATGCCTTTGAATAGGCTGTGGAGAGTAGATCTGTATAGCCAGGAAAGTCCTGACTACACAGAGCCATGTTTCTTTTTCCATCCCCGCTTCTACATCAGTGACCTGCTAGGAAGCCTGCTTCAGAACTGACACCACTGAAGGTGCCTCTCTGCCCTACAGACCTTGCTGCAAAACAGAACCATGCTGCCGTGATAAATGGAACTTGCTGCCTTCCCAAACTCAGGTGGATTGTCTCAAATTATTCACCCACGTCACAAAAGAAACAAGTATTGGAACTTAAAATAGAACCCAGAAGTTCCTAGCTACTGGCTTTGTGTTCAGGCCATGACACCACATTGCATCTCAAATCAAAATAGCCTACTTCCGATTCAGAATGTTATGTGATGCTCTTTACAAACTTCCTTCCTCAGTCTCTAAGATACAGGCTTTGCGTACAAGCACACTTGCTAACCCCCCGATCAATTACAGACAAAACAAGATTATGGTGTGATGCAATGTCTTGTTCTCAATATGACTGTTGCCTTGTAAGTGGGCAGTGCTGTAAACTCTCACAGCTGAAGTGCTTCCACTCTCCCAGAAGCTCTGCATTGAGATTTTTCTGTGACCTTTTTAAATAAACATTTGCTATTCCTGTGAGCTTAATGAGTGAACAGCTTAATTAGTGAATTCACATCTCTACTTGAAAATGCTTCACTACAGCTCAGTTTATAGCTTTGTTTTAAAAAGGGTAAATGTACTGTTATTAAAGATGCCAGAATGACAACCTAGGAGACTGGAGTTTAATATTCCCAAAGAAAAGGTGCAGCACAAACCTAAGCAACTGCATCATCAGGGTACCTGAATCTTTACATTAAGGCTGAGAGTATTTTGGTCTTCCTGTTCAAACCTTAGAGTCACTGATGATATGCTTACAAGATTATAGTGTGAATTAGATTTTAATGTAGATCATAGAAACCTTCTGCCTATCTATATATTTTCTATAAAAGGCAAGTCTCTCAAACTGTTTACTCCTTGCCCTCATCTACATTTTTCTTGAATTAATAGTAAGTTCATAATAATGAGATTCCTACTGTAGAGAATGTAGTTGTCATAGATCATGCGATTAGTTGGTCTTTAAAGACTTATGTGATGAAAGAACTAAATCATCCACAGGTAGGGAACTGTGAAACTAAGCATGATTTTTTCCAAACTATTCTTTTGGGATGGGTGCAGAGTAGCAATTTTCTGTAAAGCCAGCAGATAATTTAAAACCCATGGCTTTTGGTAGAAAACAACTTCCAGGGTACTTCTCCCTTCCTTCAAGCTTCATGCTCTGACTGCCACTTGCTAATACATTACATGGAGATTCTATTTAATGATGAGGGAGAGGGTATAAAATAAACCTAACAGCTTTATAATTGATTTATAGCAAAAATCTATGCAAGGCAGAGGAAGCTGGTGCAGCTACCCCTCCCACCTGCCCCTGGATTGGTCTCTACTGCTTAGTTGTTAACAGAGCTCACGTCTAACTTCTGTCTGTGCTCCCTGCTCAGATCATTCACTTTTTATTCCTTTTCTCTTCTGAAGATAGAAGGGAGTATTTGGCTGTAAGACAAGCAGAGCTTAAGTGGGAAGAACGATTGAGGATTTATACTTGTGGAGCTGCAGGAGGCTTAAATATGCATAATAAACAAGAAGTCATGTATACATATTAGAAAATCAAGTACCTGTTTTACTAAATTTTCAGATAATAATAGTTGAAAGTGGAACACACCTTTCTAAGATGAATCTCTGTACGCAAAATCCCCCAAAATCATTGGCATGAGGAACTAAAATTAAATTACTCCACTCTGCTTTCCATACAAGCTGTCTACATCAAGGGTTGACAGTCTATGGCTCATAGGATTCATCTGGCTCACAAATAAACTTTTTCCAGCCTACCAAGCACCCATGTTATCATGTAAGTCTATGTTATCCACCATTATTAAGTTCTGCATGAGAATGTATCATCTGGTGGCGTAATATCGAACAACTGCCACCTCCAGCCCACCTTCAGACCAAGTCTGCCATTAGTGAAAGGTTGCTAAACCCTGGTCTACATAATTCTCTCAAGTTTTCTGTCCTGATTTGTTAAGCCATAAAATCTAAAAAGCATCCTTACAGTTTATAAGGCACAATAGAATCAGCTAAAATTAAAGCTCGAGTTCAAAACATGAAGCCATGATATTCATGGGATGATCATGCGTCTGAAATATCTGCAGCTGTATTTTGATTTCTAACCCCACAGTGAGTCAATTACTTTTGGAACCAACTCAATGATGGCACAAAGACTGCCACAATATAGACAGGTGTTAGGATATGTTTCTAAAACTCAATGTACCTTCATTCTAGCTCAAATTAGCTTTGCATTTCCATTCCTGTGCCTTTCTATAACAGTGTTTAAGCTGTGCAAATCTGAGTTGTGTTTGTTTAAAGAAGCAGACATGTATGCCTTTTAGAGATGCATATTTCTTATTATTCTGTTAGTGTTTAGAGCCATGTTTTTTCCTTCTGCTTTCATGCTTAAGGGAAAATGACAATGACTAATTATACCAATCTTCTAGTTATAAAAGTCATGCAGAGACTCATATTTGCTTAACTGTGTGCACAAGCAGGCCTACAGTACATCAAGCTAAACACA